CCATGGTATGTGGGGGCCCCAGGGGGCCAGTTTGGGGGTCCCCTGTGGTGTGGGGGTCCTGGTGGTCTCCCATGGGTGGGTGGGTCTTTAGGGGGCCGGTTTGGGGGTCCCCTGTGGGTGTGGGGGTCCTGGGGTCTCCCATGAGTGTATGGGGCCCTGGGGGCCGGTTTGGGGTCCCCCTGGGTGGGGGTGTCCTGGGTCTCCCATGGGTGGGTGGGTCTTTAGGGGCCGGTTTGGGGGTCCCCTGTGGGTGTGGGGGTCCCTGGGTCTCCCATGGGTGGGTGGGTCTTAGGGGCCGGTTTGGGGGTCCCCTGGGTGGGTGGGGGTTCTGGGGTCTCCCATGGGTGGGTGGGTCTTTAGGGGAGCCGGGTTTGGGGTCCCCTGTGGGTGGGGAGTTCTGGGGGTCTCCCGTGGATATGGGGGTGTCCCTGGGATCCCCATGGGTGCAGGTGAGTCCCGGGAGTTTGGGGTCTCCCATGGGTGGGGGTCCTCGGGGTCCCACCTGGGTTTGGGGTCACCCAAGGCAAAGGGGGAGTTCTGGAGTGGGGGTTGGGGTCTCCCAGGGTCTCCCAGGGGTGGGGGACCCGGGTTCTCCCTGGGTTTGGGGTCACCCAAGGGTAAAGGGGGAGTTCTGGAGTGGGGGTTGGGGTCTCCCAGGGGTCTCCCATGGGTGGGGGTCCTGGGGTCCCACCTGGGTTTGGAGTCTCCCAAGGCAAAGGCGAGGGGTTCTGGAGTGGGGCTGGGGGTCTCCCAGGGTCTCCCAGGGGTTTGGGGTCTCCCATGGGTGGGAGGGGGTCTGGGAGTCCCACCTGGGTTTGGGGTCTCCCAAGGGCAAAGGGGAGGGAGTTCTGGAGTGGGGCTGGGGTCTCCCAGGGCTCTAGAGGTCTCCCAGGGTCTCCCAAGGGCAAAGAGGGGAGTTCTGCAGTGGGGTCTGGGGTCTCCCATGGGTGGGGGTCCTGGGGTTCTCCTGGGTTTGGGGGTCTCCCAAGGGCAAAGGGGGAGTTCTGGAGGGGGATTGGGGGTCTCCCAGGGTCTCCCTATGGGTGTATGGGGTCTCCCACTGGGTGGGGGTCTCCCTGGGTCTGGGGGTCTCCCATGGGTGGGGGAGGTCTCCCAGGGCTCTGGGGTCTCCCCACGGGTGGGGGTCTCCCATGGGTTTGGGGTCTCCCAGGGCTCTGGGGTCTCCCACGGGTGGGAGTCTCCCTGGGTCTGGGGTCTCCCATGGGTGGGGGTCTCCCAGGGCTCTGGGGTCTCCCAGGGTGTGTGGGGTCTCCCTGGGTCTGGGGGTCTCTCCTGGGTTTGGGAGTCTCCCAGGGTTGGGGGGGGGTCTCCCAGGGCTCTGGGGGTTTCCCAGGGGTCTCCCAGGGCTGTGGGGGTCTCCCACAGGTGGGGGTCTCCCCAGGGGTGTGGGGGTCTCCCAGGGCTCTGGGGTCTCCCAGGGGTGTGGGGGTCTCCCTGGGTCTGGGGTCTCCCATGGGTGGGTGGGGCTCTTCCCTGGGTCTGGGGGTCTCCCAGGGGTCTCCCAGGGTCTCCCACGGGTGGGGGTCTCCCCTGGGTCTGGGGTCTCCCATGGGTGTGGGGTCTCCCAGAGCACTGGGGTCTCCCACGGGTGAAGGGGGTCTCCCATGGCTTGGGGTCTCCACGGGCTCTGGGGTCTCCCCACAGGTGGGGGTCTCCCAGGGGTCTGGGGATCTCCTAGGGCTCTGGGGGTCTCCCAGGGGTGTGGGGTCTCCCTGGGTCTGGGGGTCTCTCCTGGGTTTGGGAGTCTCCCAGGTTGGGGGCTCCCCGGGTGGGTGGGGTCTCCCAGGGCTCTGGGGGTTTCCTAGGTCTCCCAGGGCTGTGGGGTCTCCCACGGGTGGGGAGGGGTCTCCCTGGGTCTGGGGGTCTCCCAGGGGTCTCCCACGGGTGGGGGGGTCTCCCTGGTCCGGGGTCCCGGGGGTACCTGGAGCAGGGGACAGGCTGCCTGCAGCCGCTCCAGGGGCAGGGGGAGGGCCGGGGCCCCCACCCCTGGGTCCAGCTCCAGCACCCGCAGCTGGGGCACGACCCCCTGGGGGCACAAACGGGGGTCAGGGGGTCCTGGGGGTCAGGGGGTCCTGGGGGTCAGGGGTCTTTGGGGGTCCCTAAAGGCAGCCACCTGGGGGTCAGGGGGTCCTGGGGGTCCCCAGGGGCAGCTGCCACCCTGGGGGGTCAGAGGGTCCTGGGGGTCCCCAGGGGCAGCCGCCACCTGGGGGTCAGGGGTCTTTGGGGGTCCCTAAGGGGCAGCCACACTCTGGGGGTCAGGGGGTCCTGGGGGTCCCATAGGCGGCAGCCACCCTGGGGGTCAAGGGGTCCTTGGGGGGTCCCACAGGGGGTGCTGGGGGGGCTCAGGAGGGTTTTGGGGGTCCTGGGAGGGTTCTGGGGAGTTCTAAGGAGGATTTTTGGGTTTGGGGAGTTTTTTTGGGGGATTGAGGAGGTTTTTGGGGTCCCACTCACGGCCAGGCGTGGGTAGGGTGGGGGCAGGGGTTTGGGGGTGGTTTGGGTGTGGGTGTTTTGGGGTCCCACTCACAGCCAGGGTGGGCAGGATGGGGGGCAGGGTTTGGGGGATTTGGGGCATTTTGAGGTGTTTTTGGGGTCCCACTCACAGCCAGGGCAGGACAGGGTTTGGGGGATTTTGGGGGTGTTTTGGGTGTTTTGAGTCCCAGCCACAGCCAGGAGCACAGGGCAGGGTTTGGGGGTTGGGTGTTTTTGGGTCCCACTCACGGCCAGGATAGGGGGCAGAGTTTTGGGGTGTCTCGGGTGGTTTTAGGATGTTTTGGGGTCCCACTCACAGCCAGGGCAGGCAGGATGGGAGACAGGGTTTGGGGGGGATTTTGGGGCTGTTTTTGGGGTCCCACTCACAACCAGGATGGGGGATAGGATTTAGGGGGGTGTTTTTGGGGTGTTTTTGGGGTCCCACTCACAACCAGGGTAAGGGCAAGGTTTAGGAGTGGTTTTAGGGTGTTTTTGGGGTCCCACTCACAACCAGGGTGGGCAGGATGGGGGGCAGGGTTTTGGGGTGATTTTGGGGTGTTTCTGGGGTCCCACTCACAACCAGGGCAAGGACAGGGTTTGGGGGGGATTTTGGGGGTGTTTTAGGGTGTTTTTGGGGTCCCACTCACAACCAGGGCAAGGGCAGGGTTTGGGGTGTTTTGGGGGTGCTTTTGGAGGTCCCACTCCACGGCCAGGATGGGGGCAGGGCTTTGGGGGTCTCAGTGGTGTTTTTGGGGTCCCACTCACAGCCAGGGTGGGCAAGACAGGGAGCAGGGTTTGGGGGTGTTTTTGGGGTATTTTTGGGGTGTTTTTTGGGGTTCCACTCACAGCCAGGGTGGGCAAGACAGGGAGCAGGGTTTGGGGGTGTTTTTGGGGCATTTTTGGGGTGTTTTTGGGGTCCCTCTCACAACCAGGGCAAGGGGTAGGGTTTGGGGGGGATTTTGGGGTATTTTAGGGATGTTTTTGGGGTCCCACTCACAGCCAGGATGGGGGGTAGGGTTTGGGGGGGGAGGTTGGGGTGTTTTTGGGGTGTTTTTGGGGTGCCACTCACGGCCAGGGTGAGCAGCACAAGGGGCAGAGTTTGGGGGGGATTTTGGGGTGTTTTTGGGGTCCCACTCACAACCAGGACGGGCAGGATGGGGGGCAGAGTTTTGGGGGTGTTTTTGGGGTGTTTTAGGGATGTTTTTGGGGTCCCACTCACAACCAGGGCAAGGGCAGGATTTGGGGGGGATTTTGGGGTGTATTTGGGGTCCCACTCACAGCCAGAGCGGCAGGAGGGTAGGGTTTGGGGGATTTTGGGGTGGTTTTGGGATGTTTTTGGGGTCCCACTCACCAGCCAGGGTGGGCAAGACAGGGAGCAGGGTTTGGGGGTGTTTTGGGGTATTTTTGGGGTGTTTTTGGGTCCCACTCACAGCCAGGGCGGAGCAGCACAGAGGGTAGGGTTTGGGGGTGTTCTGGGATGGTCTCAGGGATATTTTGGGGTCACACTCCCAACCAGGGTAAGGGCAGGGTTTAGGGGGGATTTTGGGGTATTTTAGGGGTACTTTTGGGGTCCCACTCACAGCCAGGGTGGGCAAGCACAGGAGGCAGGGTTTGGGGTGTTTTGGGGTATTTTGGGGTATTTTTCGGGTCCCACTCACAGCCAGGGCGGGCAGCACAGGTCTCAGCCGTGGACAGGTGAGGTGCAGGTGCCTCAGTGGGGGAGGGGCCGCCAAGAACCCCCCGAGCGCCGCCGGCTCCACCTGAGGGGACCCCCCAAATCCCCCCCAGGTAAGAGGAAGGAGGGAGACACTCCCAGTTGTGCCCCACCCCCAAAAATCTCACCTGGCAGCGCCGCAGCTCCAGGTGCCTCAGGTGGGGGCAGCTCTTGGACACTGCCTGGGGGAGGGGGGGCACAGGTGTGACCCCCAGGTGTGTGACCTCCAACATATCCTCTGGGGAGGGGCATCTTGAGGGGGGAACACACCTTAGGTGTGTTCCCCTCCCAAGATGCCCCCATCCCCCGCAGGTGCTCCCCTCACCTGCAACAAGACCCCCACGTGGCTCCTCCAATCCCACAGCACCAATTCCTGCAGGAAGGAGAATCTTTTTTGGGGGTCCCGCTCGTGGTGGGAGGTCCCTCACACCTGGGGGTGGGGAGGGGGGACACACTCACCTGGTCTCCAGCAAGCGGCACAGGGCGCTCAGCAGCTGCTTGGGGGGCAGGGGGGGCGCCTCAAGACCTCCAGGTGCCCCAGGGTGAGGCGGTGCCAAAGGGGGGGTGGGAGGCCACGTCACGCCACAGGCGGCACACCTGGGACACCCTTTTGGGGGTGGGGGAAAAGGGTGGGGGATAAATCCCTAGTGTGAGAGGGGGGACAGGGATAACCCCCAGGGTGAAATAGGGACCCCCCCAGTTTGGGACAGGGACCCCCAGTGTGGGAAAGGGACCCCCCCAGGGTGAAATAGGGACCCCCCAATGTGGGACAAGGACCCCCCCAGGGTGAAATAGGGACCCTAATGTGAAATAGGGACCCCCCCAATGGGGGACAGGGACCCCCAATGTGGGACAGGGACCCCCCCACTGTGAAATAGAGACCCTAATGTGAAATAGGGACCCCCCAGTGTGGGAAAGGGACCCCCCCAGGGTGAAATAGGGGACCCCCAGTGCAGGACAAGGACCCCCAGAGTGAAATAGGGACCCTAATGTGAGACAGGGACCCCAATGGGGGACAGGGACCCCAATGTGGACAAGGACCCCCAGGGTGAAATAGGGACCCCAGGGTGAAATAGGGACCCCCCCCAGTACGGGATAGGGACCCCCAGTTTGGGACAGGGACCCCAATGTGGGACAGGGACCCCAATGTGGGACAGGGACCCCAATGTGGGACAGGGACCCCCCCAGGGTGAAATAGAGACCCCCAGTTTGGGACAAGTGACCCTAGCTTGGAGACAGGGACCACCCCAGTCTGAAATAGGGACCCCCCAGTGTGGGACAGGGACCCCCCCCCGCTGTGAAATAGTGACCCTAATGTGAAATAGGGACCCCCCAGAGTGAACTAGGGACCCCCAGTTTGGGACAGGGACCCCTCCAGGGTGAAATAGGGACCCCCCCAGTGTGGGACAGGGACCCCCAATGTGGGACAAGGACGCCCCCAGGGTGAAATAGGGACCCCCCAGGGTGAAATAGGGACCCCCCCCAGTACAGGACACAGACCCCCAGTTTGGGACAGTGACACCAGTGTGGGACAGGGACCCCCCTAGAGTGAAATAGGGACCCCCCCACTGTGGGACAGGGACCCCAAGTGTGTGCAGTGACCCCCAGTGTGGGACAGTGACCCCACTGTGGCACTGGGACCCCCCCAGTGTGAAATAGGGACCCCCCCAGTGTGGGATAGGGACCCTCAGTTTGGGACAGTGACACCAATGTGGGACTGGGACCCCCCCAGTGTGACAAACCAGGGACACCCTGGGGGGGCAGGGGGGGACAGGGACCCCCCCAGGGTGAAATAGGGACCCCCCCAGTGTGAAATAGGGAGCCCCCCAGTGTGAAATAGGGAGCCCCCTAGTATGGGACAGGGACCCCCAGTTTGGGACAGGGACCCCAATGTGGGACAGGGACCCCCCCAGTGTGAAATAGACCCCCAGTGTGAAATAGGGAGCCCCTAGTGTGGGACAGGGACACCCCCAGGGTGAAATAGGGACCCCCGCAGTGTGGGACAGGGACCCCCCCCCAAAGGGCGACAGGGACCCCAATATGGGACAGGGACTCCCCAGTTTGGGACAGGAACCCCCCCAGAGTGAAATAGGGACCCTAATGTGAAATAGGGATCCCCCCAGTGTGAAATAGGGACCCCCAGTTTGGGACAGGGACCCCCAGTGTGAAATAGGGACCCCCAGTGTGGGACAGGGATCCCCCCAGTGTGGGACAGGGACCCCCGGTTTGGGACAGGGACCCCCAGTGTGGGACAGTGACACCAGTGTGGGACAGGGACCCCCCCCAAAGGGGGACAGGAACACCCCCAATGTGAAATAGGGACCCTAATGTAAAATAGGGATCCCTCAGGGTGAAGTAGGGACCCCCCCAGGGTGAAATAGGGACCCCCACAAGTATGGGACAGGGACCCCCCCAGGGTGAAGTAGGGACCCTAATGTGAAATAGGGACCCCCCAGTGTGGGACAGGGACCTCAATGTGGGAGAGGGACCCCAATGTGGGACAGGGACCCCCCCAAAGGGGGACAGGGACCCCCCCAATGTGGGACAGGGACCCCAGTGTGGGACTAGAACCCCCCCAGGGTGAAATAGGGACCCCAGTGTGAAATAGGGACCCCTCAACTACTGGGACAGGACCCTCAGATGTGGAGACCTCCCAGTGATGAAATAGGGACCCCAGCGTGGGACAGGGACACCCCAGGGTGCCCACAGGTGCCCCCAGGTGTCCGCCAGGTGCCCCCAGTGTGGCAATAGCCCCAGGTGCCCCCCAGGTGTCCCCCAGGTGCCCCCCAGGTGTGGCAGTGCCCCCAGGTGCCCCCCCAGGTGCCCCCAGGTGTCCCCCAGGTGCCCCCCCAGGTGTGCAGTGCCCCCAGGTGCCCTCCAGGTGCCCCCAGGTGTGGCAGTGCCCCCAGGTGCCTCCCAGGTACCCCAGGTGTCCCCAGGTGCCCCCAGGTGCGGCAGTGCCCCCAGGTGCCCCCCAGGTGTCCCCAGGTGCCCCCCAGGTGAGGCAGTGCCCCCAGGTGCCCCCCAGGTGCCCCCAGGTGTCCCCCAGGTGCCCCCCAGGTGTGGCAGTGCCCCCCAGGTGCCCCCCAGGTGTCCCCCAGGTGCCCCCCAGGTGTGGCAGTGCCCCCCAGGTGCCCCCCAGCCCCACCTTGGGAGGAAGGGCACGGCCCCCTCGGCCTCCACGGCCGCCTGGAAGATGCGCAGGAGGATCTCGGGGGGCAGCTGAGCCCCCCACACCTGAGACCCCCGGGACCCCCGAGACCCCCACGCCTGCTGCTCCTGCTGCTGCTTCTGGTCCTCCTGCTGCTCCTCCTGCTGCTCCTCCTGCTGCTCCTGTTCCTGCTCCTCCTGCATCTCCTGCACCTGCCCCTGCCGCCGCTGCCGCCGGGGGGGGCACCTGGGGGGGCCCCGGGGACCAGCTGGGGACACGGAGGGACAGGGGGGTCAGGAGGGACAGCAGGGACAGGGACACAGGTGGGACAGGAGGGACAGGAGGCACAGGGACACACAGGTGGGACAGAGAGGGACAGGAGGGACAGGAGGGACAGGAGGCACAGGGACACACAGGTGGGACAGAGAGGGACAGGGGACACAGGTGGGACAGGAGGGACAGGAGGGACAGGAGGGACAGGGACAGACAGGAGGGACAGGGGACACAGGTGGGACACAGGTGGGACACAGGTGGGACAGGAGGGACAGGGACAGGTGAGAGACAGGGGGACAGGTGGGACAGGAGGGACACAGGTGGGACAGGGGACAGGTGGGACAGACAGGGACAGGACACAGGTGGGACACAGGACGGGACACAGGTGGGACACAGGTGGGACAGGAGAGACAGGGGCAGGGACAGGGACAGACAGGAGGGACAGGGGACACAGGTGGGACACAGGTGGGACAAGGGAGACAAGGAGGGACAGGTGAGACAGGTGCGACAAGAGGGACAGGTGAGACAGGGGATGGACAGAGGGGACAGGTGAGGGACAGGGACAAGAGAAGGACACGTGTGAGAGAGGACACACAGGTGTGACACATGTGATGGGTGTGTGACAGGTGTGACACATGTGACAGGTGTGACAGGTGTGACAGAGGACACACAGGTGTGACACATGTGATGGGTGTGTGACAGGTGTGACACATGTGACAGGTGTGTGACAGGTGTGACAGAGGACACACAGGTGTGACACATGTGACAGGTGTGTGACAGGTGTGACACAGAACGGACAGGTGACACAGGTGAGGGACACAGAGGCCCAAGGGAGGGCACGTGGGGGGTGGGGTTGTTTGGGGAGAGGGTGGGCCAGGTGTGGGGGGCTATGGGGCCAGGTGGGGGCTGGGGG